AGGCGATTTCTGCTTCTTCTAACTACTACTGCCCTACGTCTCTACTAGTATACTAACGTCCTTATCTTTATCTTCCTCGTCCCTATTACTAAGTACGTAATCAGTAGGATTTTAAGAGGTATGCCTATTCAGATTATACTCCTTGTTACCTAGAAGAGGCTAACTCTTACCGAATTAGGCTAGAGTATCCTCTAGAGATAGATCGATAGCGATAGCTAGAAGGATTCGTTATCTCGTATAATAAGATATAGCTAGGACTAAGTAGACGCTCTATTAGCAGTAGCTCGCTATACGGTAGTATTATAGTCTGCTTTTTCGTCAAATAGCTAGTTTTATAACTTACTAGTATTACGCTTAACTCGAGGCCTCGGCTATATTCTAATAGTAATATAGGACAGCGAGTATTAGTCTGTTAGGTACGAAAAGTAGCAGAATTAAAAGCGCTAGATACTATCTTAAATTCGGCGTATCGACTATAATATATAGTAATATAGACGTTGCGTATTCGCTACAAAGAATACTATATAGGACTTAGGTAGAATTATATAACCTTCAGAATTATCTAAGGCAGCTCTTAGTATAGAGTACTAATAATATACGACACAAATATTAAGCTATTAAACAATATGTATACTTATATATACTATATTAACTGTCGTATTCCGGAGGTAGTACAATTCTAACTTATAGCGACTAATAGTGCCGTTGATAGGTACGATAGAGCTATCGTATTGACTACGGCAATAGAATTCGAGTTAGCTCTAGTTTTGGCCCTATAGATAAGTTTCTAGGCTGTACTAGCATTTACTCCTAGTAGGACGGTCGCAATATAGTCAAAAATGTATCTAGCGATAGCGTAGAGTATAAGGATTGCAACGCGAGTATTATAATTGATTTTTATAGTATATAGAGTAAGGAACTAGTCTACAAAGTTGATAAAGTTAGTTAGTATATTGAAGCTTATAAGGATGCCAAGAAGACAGACTTTCGGAGGAGCGGAGGTATATATGAGTTCAATATTACTGACTTTGTTATACCGATTCGTAACAAGACCAAAGGTAATATAGATAAGTATAATAGTAATAATACTATATTCGGCTACTCCTTAGATTCGAATACGACTCTATAAGAGGTAATACGAAGAGGTAATATAAAAGAGGTTTATAAGGTACATTAGGATAGATACGATAGTTATAGTAGTTAAAGTAGGATACAGCTACCGCTATAGCTTATTTAGTACCTCTACTATAGTGTATAGCAATTAAGAGAACTATATCCGGTAGGTGACTTTGTATACCTTAGATATAATAGTCTAGTAGTATAGGTATAATAAAGTAGTTTTGCTTCTGAGCTCGATTAGGTTAGCCGTCTTATATTTTAGGTAGGAGGTAAAGTACGTACTAAGGTAGGCAGGTCGGGTAGGTACCTAAGTTACCTGGTATTATATATATTAGGATATACAAAACGTTTAAATTCAGTTTCCGTTGTTTAATATACAATATTCTATAATACATAGAGACTCTCGGTGTATATAGATACGGTTGTAATATTTATAATATAAATTATTCAATACAAAGGCTATACTCTGTTACTCTTGATACGTAAATGTGTTCGGTTTTATTGTTAAGACGTGTTCTCGACTACCGCTAGGTAGGTGCTTAGGAGAGCGCTACAGATATAGTATATCGACTGGACCGATACCAAGCTTATAATAAACTATTGTACTTTAGAATATTTCTATCTCTATATTATCTAGAGAATTAGCTTATAATACTGTTTTTATTATAGAACAGTTACTAAAGACTACCTGTATTAGATAGTATTCCGGTTATCTAAGTAGGAGATTCAATCGTACTATTAATAGCAAGAACTAGTTAAGATAGTATAGAAATTTAAATCCCGGATATACTAGTAGCGTTAGAAGCGGGTTAAAAATCTATAGAATCTAAGATATAAGATAATAGTATTGTTTGTATGAAATCAAATTTGTCTATAAATAATTTACCGCTCTACGGATTTCTAGGCCGGAACGGGACTACCTATAACCTAGAAAGGTATTTCTACTAGCTATTATAATCTCGCTAAGTCTAGCGATTACTATAGGAGAAATAAGGCATAGAGAGAATATAGTACCTAATCGTTATAACAGTAGGTAGTTATATATATATAGATCGAAATATATATTCCGTAGCATAGTATTTGTAGCTCTATTAAAAACCTCCTCTTAAGTATTAGTAATTAGCCGGTCCGTTAGTACGGGTTATAACTTAGAATTGCGTCTATATATTCTATAGTATAGGCAACTATATAGTGCATTCAATTGATTAAATAACTAGGTAATTATATACGACAGATCCTCCTTTGTACAATACTGTGTGATACGGTCCTTGATCTAATCGTAAGTAGCTATAATTAGAACGGTTATGTTATAAGAAAAGACGGAAATTATATATATGTTAATAGTAAGTAATACAGATTTACGTTTGTCGCTTTAAGTAGTCTTAAGGTCTTCGTTCTCGATATCGTTGGTATTGTTGCGTATAGCACGTATAAGTATTACCGATTATATATTATCGAATAACTACTTAGTCTTCGTAAAGCTATAGGTTCTATATAGCGTAAGGAACTTAGCGGCGAGCTTGCGAGCAACTTAGCGTATATCATCTTTACTCTTCTACTATCTACCTTATATATGTTATAGGCCTATAAATTGACTATATTGTCTATATACTGTATATATAGTATAGATTCTACTACTAGAGAGACCGCATCTAGCGCATTTATAGCTGCTTAGATACGATTATAGATAGTAATATCTAGCTTATTATAATTATTAAACGTCTTATCCGGTATAAGTAAATATGTAAGCGGAATAATAATACTAAGGCTTATAACAATATCGAGATAGAGTAACAGAAGGATACTTTTGCATATATAATCAAGGATGACTATATATTGGTTATCCTTAAAGATAGCGATAAGTCAAAGATCGGTAAAGAAAAGCGCCTAGAGTCTGTTACTTTCGTCGTCGGTTACTATTTTATAGAAGTACCTTATCTATAGGTATTAGACTAGTGATTATTTCAAATATCTCGAGGCACTAGTATAGTAGTACCGCTAGTAAGGCTAGCTTTAGTAACGAACTAATAAGTATATCTATTATAGGAAGTAATCGACTCGTAGGCGCGCAACTCTTAGATAATAAATTTATAAAGCTCTTAGTACTAGACTAAATACTAGAATTAAACCTTTACGCTATCAATCGTAATGTTGAAAGTCTTTAGCTCTATAGCTTACCAATATCTTCTAGAGCTAAACCCTAGATAGAGAAGAAATAGTTGGTCTTCTATATACATAATCAGGGACTAGCTTATTCTTAGTATAGCCTTTAGCATATACAAGAGTGTGCTTCTATAGCTCTACGATTACGCTAGCGATAAGTAGACGTACTCTATACTTCTAATAATTGCTCGTACTTTTAGTATGGGGTAGCGGGCGGGGTATAACCTATCCTCGTCCTCTATCTCTATGTCGCTCCCAGATTAAGAGTAAGCTATATTGAAATTTTTGTCTACTAAACTCCGCCGTTTATCAAAACCCCTAAGAATATATAGACTTATTCAAAGAGTCAATACTAAGCTTCAATATACCTAATTGAGGGATATGAGATACTTGATTCAGAATATATAAGTATCTAGGACTAGATAAGTATCTAGGACTAGATAAGTATCTAGGACTAGATAAGTATCTAGGACTAGATAAGGCGTTTAAATAGAGAAAGAATTGAATTAAAAATAGAGAACCTTCTAAAGGAAAAGGACGTCTATCAGTATATATATAAGAAGCATAGAATAATAGAAGAATTATATATCTAAATATAAACACCTCTAGAGAAAGACCCTATTTCTATAAAGACCTCTAGCCTTAATATATGGCCTTACTTAGGCTATACGCGGCCGCGGGTAATAATAGGTATAGCTTTAAAGATCTTCTGAAAGCTTGAGCCTAAGGGTAATATTGATCTTAAGCTTCTCTAAGGACTAAAGTCTAAAGGTAGTTAATTCTGCTATCTAGATACAAGATTGCAGTCTAGAGGCGACTCCGCCGTCGAGGCGAATCTAACCTGTTACGCATATATCTAGCGGTCATATAACATTTATTGATTTGGTTATTAGGTAACCCTAACGTTAGGTTAGGGAATAGAATCCCCGAGAAGACTCTAGAGACTTCTAAAGATAATTATATAATATCTAGAGGCTTCTAGAGATAACTATATAATTCTTTATAGGGTCTAGCAAGTTATAGAAAATGCTTAATTTTCATTTAAGATTATATTAGATTCTACTCGATTACTAAGCTATATTAGTACTAGTTTCAGTACGCTATTATACCTACGTAGAGCCTTCTAGTGACGAAGTCTTAGAGTATAAGAGAAGAGCTAGTAGCCTCTCTAGATAGACAAGTATAGTAGCAAGAAACAAGAAGCTAATAACTCTCTATTGTATACTCTACTTCTATTTCTAGTCCATATACTAGTACACTACTTTCCGGATCTACGATATTCCTACGCGATATTAAGACTTTTCGACAAAGAAACTCAAAGCTTTTTATAAATTGAAAGGGTCGTTTTACTCCTTGCCTTTCTAGTCCAAGCTGCCGAACTTATTGGCACTATAGGGCCTTAGCAGACGGACGTATTATTCTGTTTTGTTAGTCAATCACTCCGTTCCGTAGGTAGGTAGTAATTCCAAAAAGAGGCTATCGACCTATTATGCGTTCGTACGAACATTTACGCTAGATAGCCAAGATAATGAATGGTGCTGCGTTCTACTAATACAAGTTTTTTTTTAGCTTATCAAAAATTGCAAAGCGCGCAGCATTATATTATTCTCTATAGTACAATATGGAAGACCGAGTGGTGTGGACAGAGTTTTCGATGTATATTGATAGGGCAAAGATTCTCTGCCACTTGCGACAACCAAAGTGCGATATAAGCAGTAGTAATATTCCGTCTTTCGTGGCATGCTTTTGTCAGTCTATCGTAAAGTGAGTTTCTGCTATGGGTCCAAGTGGTTTTCATCTTGCCTGTAGGACCTGACAAGCTCTACAGAAGATAGAGGCAGATGAGTTTGTGCTCGGGTATGTGTGTCAAGGTAGCAGATCGGCGGCCAGTCTTGGAAAAACTCGCGCAGATAGGCCAAGCAGCGCCATGCTGACAGACTGTCCGGATGAGTATACAGCAGTCGCTCGAGTGTTGGCGATTGGAAACAAGGGTTTGCTTGCTAGAGGAGGATTTCATTATCAGCGAGGACTTGGATAGAAGTTGGTTCAAGCTCTTTCGTGTTATCTTTACATGCAGTAGTCTCTCTTCCAGAGCAGCGTGATCATGAACGCTCTCTTCGAGCCCAACGCCTGAACGCCGCGCCATGCGTCTTCAAGACCTGTGTCAGCCCCGTCATTACGAGGACAGTGCGGCCGATTTAAGGCGCCAACACCTGTTTTGAATCATCATAATCCACTTCTCTTACTCCGTCCTTGTCAATCACCTTCACAAGCACTCCCTTGAAGTCGATCGGCAGTCGTCTCTTCAGCTCATCTGTGCACATTCGGAGAATCTTCATGCCCTGCTCGTAGCTGATGTCAGGGTGGTGATGTTTGTCTAATATCGCCAGACAGTAGTACTGTGCGTATCCATGGGCGGCGTAAGGTAGAGGGGCGCAGGACGCGAGGTAGTCGATCCAATGCAGCGTGGGCTTGTTGTGGTGTGTGTCGTAGCCACCGAGCAACAGATTGACCGTGTAGGGTGAGCGCGAGCGCAGCGACTTGGCGAGTTCGGAGCGTACGAAGGAGGCGGTTTCGTTGGGGGTGAGCTCATTGCCGTTGCGGATGCCGTAGAGGGCGGTGTTGGCCTGGACGTAGTCGGCGAATTGGACTGCAGGCACATCATCATGTTAGACAAGAAGCGAGGAAGACGACGACAGTGACGGTAGGAGGGAAAAGAAGGACGTCAGACGCACTCGTATCGCCAGCTTCTCCCACAAAGGCCATCAGCGTGTGCTTGTTGAGGGCGCGCGTCTTATCGTCGGAAGCCTTGAGGATGGTGGCACCTCTCATGGCAGCTTTGGAGGCGGCCATGATGGTAAAGTCCTTGCCTGTGATGCCGAGAAGGACCTCCCTCGGGGGATGTTAGTTGCATGTTCGACCGAGTAGGAGGAGTCGGTGAGGGACATACATGATGACAACAGTGGTGATGGAGTGTAAGGTGTGTGGGTGTTGGGTGGATGTGTTGGTTGTTCCAGCGGTGCAGTGGAGCTGTTTGTCTGTTTGTCTGTCGGTCGGTAGGTCGAGATGAGATAGATGCACAGGCAGCTGCAGTCGACGCGGTCCAGCGACACCACGTTAGAGCTTAGGTAAGGTAAGGTAATCCTAGCGCGTGGAGCTGCCGTTCTTGCTCGGTCTTGGCAGAAAAAGTCAAGCTCAATCAAGTCCACATCAAAGTTCCATCACTTGCTGGTATAGTGAGAGAGAGTACATTTACACTTGAATTGGTTGACCAACCAATCATGAAGACGACTTTCGAGCCCAGTCGGGTCATCCAGCCCATCTACACGGGCGGCGCTGTGTCGCTCAGTCAAGATGGCCACATCCTCGCTTCTTCCCTCGGCGAAGAAGCACTGCTCACGGACTTGACTACAGGCGCGCATTTGGCCCGCATTGAAGGCGTAAGCAACATTCCCTCCCAGTCCCCTGCTGGCTACAGGAAGAGCGATTGACTTGGACTGACTGTTGACACAAGTGATCAGGACGGCGAACCTCTGACCACCCTTACCCTCAGCCCCGATGCTACACATCTCGTTGTGTGCTCACGATCGAACGCAGTGCGTATATTCGCTTTGCACGACTCGCAGGTGGACGACACAATTGATGCGAGACTGCTCCGGACTCTCAAGCCACACAAGACGCCTGTGGTAGTGGTGGCAGTGGACAACACGAGCTCTTTGCTGGCCACGGGCGGCGCGGATGGAGAAGTCAAAGTGTGGGATCTCAGAGGCGGTTACACGACCCATACCTTCCACGGCCACAGTGGAGTCGTCTCGGCCCTACACTTTTTTCATGTCGACCCAAACGAGACAGAGCAGACGTCGACAAAGGGCAAAAAAAGGAAGAACAAGCAAAGAAATGGGGAGGCTGAGGAAGTGCAAAACGAGGCTACTGCAGGCTACAGACTGGCTTCTGGTGGCGAAGATGGGAACATCAGAATATGGGACCTGAGTAAAAGCCAAGGCGTCGCATCTCTCGAGAGTCATGTTAGTGTGGTGAAGAGCTTGGATTACGCGCCAGATCAGAGATTGCTATTAAGCGGGAGTCGAGACAAGACTGTCATTCTGTGGGACTCGAAAACGTGGCAGCAAGTCAGTACTATCGCAGTGTTGGAAACGATCGAGACAGCCGGATTCGTGGAAACTGGGAAGCTCATCTACACCGGAGGGGATACGGCGAGACTAAGAATATGGACCACGGACGACGGCCAGGAAGTGACAGAAGATCAAGAAGAAGGCGCAGAAATAGAGAGAATAGTCGACGTTCAGCAGTGGGCTAATCTCCCTTTCTTACTCACGGTGCACGACGATCAGACTCTGGTGCTGCGCTCACTAGAAGGACTGAAAGATGCATCTGGAAACGCTCGAATCCCTGCCCTACCAGTTATACGGCGGATCAGCGGAACGCACGACGAAGTCATCGACCTGGCATATATCGGACGGCACCGCAATCTCCTTGCGCTCGCTACAAATCTCGAAGACATCCGCATCGTCTCACTAGACACAAGCGCGTCAAATGGATCATCCCCTTACTTCGGCGCAGATATAGCTCTTCTTAAGGGTCACACCGAAATCATCATCACAATCGACACCGACTGGTCTGGCTGTTGGCTCGCCACAGGGGCAAAGGATAACACTGCAAAGCTGTGGCGGCTGGATCCCGAGAATAACTCCTACGAATGCTACGCAACATTTACCGGTCATGCTGAGAGTATAGGGGCTGTTGCACTGCCTAACGCTGCTCCAGTACCAGGATCGAAAGAGTTCGAGAATCCGCTCGAGCACCCACCTGAGTTTATGATCACTGGCAGTCAGGACAAGACGGTTAAGAGATGGGACATCAGCAAACAAGCCGGGAAAGGACCTCGAGCCGCGTATACCAGAAAGGCGCATGACAGAGATATCAACGCCATCGAGACGTCCTACTCCACCACGACCCCACTTTTCGCCTCAGCATCACAGGACCGAACAGTCAAAATCTGGGATGTGCAAACCGGTGAGCCTATCGGCGTGCTTCGAGGTCATAAGCGTGGTGTGTGGAGCATAGCGTTCGCGCCCACGGACATGCCTGCGTTGACTACGAATGACAACGGGAATGCAAGCACGTCCAAGGGTATGGTCGTTACGGGCAGCGGAGACAAGATGGTGAAAATATGGAGCTTGACGGACTACAGCTGCTTGCGAACGTTCGAGGGCCACTCGAACAGCGTGTTGAAAGTCGTCTGGCTGCCACCTCCAAGTAAAGATGACAGGGACGGCAGAGGTGTGCAAGTCGCTAGCGCAGCAGGTGACGGACTTGTGAAAGTTTGGGATGCGCAAGGTGGTGAATGTGCAGCCACACTAGACAATCACATCGATCGTGTCTGGGCACTTGCAGTTCGACCTCAGCCAATTCTCTCGATAGCAGAAGCAGAAGCTAAAATCGCGGAAGGTCATGAGGATGAAAAAGATGATTCTGCGCCACAACTAGAATTGGTTTCTGGCTCAGCAGACAGTACGCTGACCTTCTGGACTGATACGACGACGCAGACTGCCCTTGCAGCCACAACGCAAGCCACGCAACGGATTGAACAGGACCAAGAATTGCAAAACGCAATTCGAGCCAACAACTTCCGAGACGCAATCGTGCTAGCTCTTCAATTGAACCACCCGAAACGCCTTCTCGAGATCTTCAAATCGGCCATTGATAATCCCTCCACAGAAGCAGAAAGCTTCACTGGTCGCGCTGAAGTCGACGAAGTGTTGGCCAGCTTATCAGAAGGTCAACTCTGGAACCTCCTCCGCCGGATTCGAGACTGGAATGCCAACGGGAGGACACATCATGTTGCGCAACGCATCTTATATGCCCTGTTTAGGATTTACCCGAAAGAGAAGATCATCGGTCTACAACGAAAACGTAAGCAGATGGTAGCGGCAGAAGATGAAGACGAGGTTTTGGCTGGTGCTATGGCAGAGACGACTCTGCAAGAAAAAGCGAAGAGCAAAGAGAGCGTGAAGGATGTACTCGATGGATTAAAAGCTTATTCCGAGAGGCATTATCAGAGGCTGGAGAAGACTAGTGAGGAGAGGTTTGTGCTGCTGTGGGCGCTAGGTCAGATGGATGATGTGTCTACCGCGAATCTGCAATTGACGACCAGGCACCCAGGGGAAGATCTGGTAATGCTGGATTAGACTATGGCTGGTAGGAGGCGAAATAATGATAAAGACACAGCGCCAGTCGGTATCAACATGTACCACGCTGCCTTCGATCTTTTCCCTCGTCGACAGCATAAAGAGCACTCAGTACTGGCACTTTTCCCGCGTTGCGACAGTCATTTCCGCACGACATCTCGGAGTCCTGCTCACAGGTCGTGCAATGCGAACGGCCGGTGGTCACCCCTGCCCTTCCGAGGCGGACCTACAGCGCCATGGCTCCGAGCTGAACAGCGCAACCTGAACAGCACACAGATTCGACTTGAGTCAGGTCAGATGCCGTTTGGAGATGTGGGCCTCAACAGCCAAGGTTCCATCTTTCCAGCTCCCTCGTCGTCTTTGTCACTCAGCTACCATTCAAAATATAGGTGTGTTTTGGATGAGACCAGCTGGTGTCATCACTCGATGAGAAGAAAGCACCCGTCAACAGTCTAGGTATCGGAGTCGATACTGGAAGTTAGTAATATATAAGGTGCAAGCCTTCAGTAGCTTCTTATTGTACACTCGAATTTGTACAGTGTGTAAGCATGAGACTAGCCATCGTACACCGTTACCGTCTTGTATCTCAGCAAAAGCCATCTGTTGCGCCATCGCTATACATCCCAGCCCATCATATTTGTGTTTGCTCCTCTCCTGCATCATCCTCTCCTTTCGACCCTATTCAGCTTTTTCGCGGTTATAATCTGCATTTCACGTCACATTAGCACCAGCCGTACCCAACCCCATCCCAACACCAACGCCGCAAGACTCACCTGGCTTCGCGTCCTCTGGCCCCTCACGGGCAAGCCCATAGCGTGTCTTCTTCCCCGGTACGAGCCCATATCTCTCAATCTCTTGATGTTATCGTGCAATTGCCTCTTCAAGTCATTTTCCAACACCATTTTCGAGAGTTCCTCTGCCAGTGCGTTGATTTGCCGCTCTTTCAAGCTTCCGATCCGGGCAGTGTTGTGAATGTGGAAGCGCGCCATGAGAGTCTGGCAGACTTTGGGACCGATGCCGTAGAAGGATTGGAGAGAGTTGCGCACAAGAAAGCTTTCGGCGAAGTTGTTGCCGAATAACCCAACCTGTGTCGCGTCAGTAAGGTATACTTGCAACGATTCGCGCAGTGGCGATTGAGTACTTACCATGACTGCAGTGTTGTTGCAAACGGAGCGATGGTGAGAGGTGGCTGCCGCGTTATTTCTCGACTTCGCGAAAGTGAGAGTTGAGTCCAAACGGCATGATCCGCCATCCCCGCCAATGCCGATGCCGATGAGGTAAGGAAGGTCGTACCTCCTAGGTAGGAGGTGGTACTGCACCGCCCATTGACCACAGCTGTCACTTCAAGAATTCCCGCTGGCTTCTGCCTTCTTCTCCCTACATCCCCATACTGCAACTCAACTACATCGCCCGGAGGACTACGACTGTCGATCGGCGTCAACATGGCCTCCCTCCAACGAATCCTGGTGTCTTTTATGGTCGTCCTGACCTTCGCTTTCGCCTATTTTGCCCAGACGGCCGAAGCTCAGAAAGGCCCCAAGATCACTCACAAGGTCTACTTCGATATCAAGCAGGGCGATGAAGAGTTGGGCAGGATCGTCATGGGACTGTATGGAAAGACGACACCAAAGGTATGTCCATGTCCACATCCAGACGCCAGGGGCGGGTGGAGTGCGCTGGAGAAGAAGATGGACTGACTGATGACAATTCGTGGTACAGACGGCCGAGAACTTCCGAGCTCTCTGCACGGGCGAGAAGGGCTTTGGATACCAGGACTCTTCCTTCCACCGTGTCATCAAGGACTTCATGATCCAGGGTGGTGACTTCACGAAGGGCGACGGCACTGGAGGAAAGTCCATTTACGGCGCCAAGTTTGACGATGAGAACTTCAAGTTGAAGCACTCCAAGAAGGGTCTTCTCAGTATGAACGATTTCGAGTGCCCTGACTGATGCCCTCTCTCCATGTACTGACCGTTTGCCAGGCATGGCCAACTCCGGCAAAAACACGAACGGCTCGCAATTCTTCATTACGACCGTCATCACCTCTTGGCTCGACGGCCGCCACGTGGTCTTCGGCGAAGTCCTCGAGGGCATGGACATCGTTCACAAGATCGAAAACACACCCAAGGGAGGAAACGACAAGCCTACTGTCGCCGTGACGATTGCGAAGAGTGGAGAGTTGGAAGTGCCAGCAGAAGGTATCAGAGCTGAACTCTAGTCTTCATACTTCTTGAAATACTACCTTGTCCTGGTATGTGGCGACCAGAATTACTCCCCACCTACTGCTCCACAGATGCAGGAAGTCCCAGTCAGCAGGTGGTAGTTTGGGTCACTCACTACTGGGATATGTCTGGAGCACATTCCCGCTGACTATCATCTCTTTTCGAATTTTAGGTCTCGAAGGCGGCGCTGAACCGATTGCTCCCCTCGACGAGGACGAAGTCTTTACAGGCAACAGTGGCAAAGCCATGGGCGGAAGCATCTCCCAGGAAACTGTTGCTGACTTCAAGTCTGACGTTGCATCTCACTTCAGCAGCGAGGGCCTCGTCAGCAGTCCTAAGCAGAGCATGGGCTATCCTTTCAAGCTATTCCTCGTGGCTTGCATCTTGTTCGCCTGTTGGATGTTTGTGCAGGCGCATGGAAGCAGGAGGGGAAGTGCTGCCGGGCTGTAAGGTGGTACGCGAAAGTGTCACAAAGGCGGCCAAACAGTGACATAAAACAGGATAATGGTATGACGCGACAATGAGTAGATACAGGATGTAGTATTGGATATTCCCATATCTAGTACATCACGACAAGATGTTACAAAGCTCTTTGTGAGAACAAACGGATTGCGTACGCTCTCGCTCCGCTGCTTCCTCTTCCTGGCGCGAATATGAAGAAGGATATAGGCAAGATCTTGAAGTGTATCTCGACGTTCGCTAGGCCTGCACCGAGACAAAGAGACGAAGACTGACTGTGGCGAGTTTGATAGGGAGGGCGAAGTGAACAAAGAAGTGTTCTCAGACACAATCCTATTGTTGTGATTCTTTCCAGTTACCTGTTGAGTCTGCCGCCGAATGGAGCACTCAATAGTCAAGCCTCAACCCCAAAAGGTGACAAAGCTGACAACTTGATCCTCGACTCTACGTCCTTCCAGGGTATTCAACGAGTAAACAAACATCCCGAGCAGAAGAGTTCTAGTGGGTTTCACTCCTCGAGACCTGCGACGCTGCCTGCATTCCTCAGCATAGCGCATGGGACAAGCATGAATACGAACACGATGGGCTCTTACCAACCGGTTCAGCACGATCCAGATATGGAGCAATCACGAATGAGCGACTCAAGTACGGCATGGAAGAACGAGTTCATTGAAGAGAAGCAAGACCTCGCCCGCAGGACGCTGGCATATTGCAAGACGCACATCAATCAGATCATGACTGGCGCGCTGATTATCGTCACACTGATGCAGTTTCTCTCCATTCAACGTATGACCCAGGCTACGAGGACAATCACGTCAGTTGCAGCACAGAATTACACGATTCACAAAAGCTATGGCGGTGACACGCGATACATGTCGCTCGATTCTCAATTCGATACCTTGTGGAACCATGAACTGGTGCCGGACAACGGTGTCATCAACCTCCCGCCCTACGATTCCTCGGGAAAGACGACTGTCAATGAATATGGCGTGATTGGCATGCTCCACGCGCTTCACTGCCTGGGTGGCATCAGGAGGGCCATGCAGACTGCACGCAACGATGCACTCAGCAGAAATGGACACGACATTGGTCTGGATTACAAGTCTGATCCGCACTGGCCTCATTGTTTCCATTATCTCCGGGAGTTGATCTTGTGCCATGCCGACGACACGATCGAGAGAGCCCACTTCCTTAATGGGACTGTGTCGCTAGCTGGTCAAGCGCCAGCTTTTTTTGAGGGTCAGTTGGACGTGAGGCAGTGTCGCGATTCGGAAAAACTGTTCCAGACGCGGAAGTTGCACAGTGATTCGAACAAAGATGGTGTGCCGAATGTATGGTAGGGGAAATCTTCACGGACGAGACAGCAAGAAGAAGAGGAGCAGGAGGAGGAGGAAGAGGAAGAAGAAGAAGAAGAAGAAGAAGAAGAAGAAGAAGAAGTGCGTCGAAGTATACTAGCACGTGTTGGATATGTACGAGTGCGATATAACACTTACCATATAAGCACTGATTTGATGACACTTCCCTCCTCCATCTTCTTCTTTGCTTCTTCAAATTCCTGCAGTGGGAACTCTTTGAACATCTTGCCCACTGGCAATATGCCATCCTTGCTCCATTGCACCAGCTCCGGCAAAGCTTCTGCTGGATCACGGTCGCCCTCGATAACGCCCACCAACCTCCTTCCGTTGACCATATGTTGCAGGCAATCGACTTCCAGCTTCGCATCGACAGGCTTGACACCAACCTGCAGCACCATTCCATTCTTCCGGATGGCGCCCAGACACTCGCTCAATATAGCCACACTTGGCGTCGTATCCAGGACTGCAGTCGCTCCTAGCCCCTGAGGGGACATGTCCTTGATTGCCTGGGACAGAGTCTTATCACCGAGTGCTTCTTTCGTACTCAGCAGGCCCTTGGTAGCACCCAATTCCGCCGCCAACTCCACTCGACCAGGGTTGATGTCTACAGCAATGATGGTCCCGACTTTGTTATTCACTGCAGCACATATGCCAGCGAGACCCACACCACCCAGTCCAATGACCGCAACAACATCGTCTGGCCCACATTTACCCACGTGTGTGATTGCTCCCGCGCCCGTCATAATACCACAGCCTAGCGGAGCATACAGCTTCAGCTCTTCCGCGTCTTTGATCAACTTCGTCACGTTGGCAGCAGCGGACACCTTGACCGGCGTAGGACTCGCAAAAGAGCTCTGTCCAAAGTACCCTCCACCAATCACTTTTCCCTTGTCAGCAGCAGCAGCAGCACCCTCTGCCAATATGAAATTGGGCTCATTGGCGGCCAAGGTCAAAGCAGCATGTTGTACACAATACGCCGGATGACCCGTCGTGCAGTACAAGCATTCGAGACAAGCGGCGGCCGATAGAATGACCAAATCGCCCACTTTCCACTTCGCTTCTTGCGCCCTTGAGCCGAGTTTGAGAATTCTTCCCGCACCTTCATGTCCCAAGACCCGAGGATAGATTCCGCCATAGCCGGAAATATCGGTGTGGCAGACGCCGGTGGCAATCATTTCGACGAGGAATTCATCTTCCAGTGGCTCGCGAGTGAGAAGATTTTCGAGTTTCCAGCTGTGTTGATCATACGCTACGATGCCTTTGGCGGGAATCGTGTACTTTTGCGAAGACATGATGATCCCGTAGTTGAATAGTGGTTGTTGTCAGCTGGTATTGGGGGGTTTTTTCAAGTTGGGTACGGTCGATATCCACACAAACAGCACTGCGAACAAAGTAGGTAGGTATTATTCCAGAACTCTTTTCATACATGTGTTAGATAATGTAAATAGCTCGGGAATACCATCGTCATAGGGGCGGGGTTAAGGTCTAGATTGAAGGTTGATGGATCGACGGAGATGCCGAAAAAGGAATATGCTGCACGCCATACCACACAGGCCGAGGTGGCAATTGTGAAGATGATTTCTCGGGGTAATGGGAGGTGTGTTGATGTTATTAGAGGACAATGGGATAGAAGTGAATGAATGGGAAGGGTGATATCAGATTACTTGATTATGGAAGAAAGAAGGAGGAGCAAAAGGAGGGAAAGGAGAAAAAGGAGGGGGAGGGCTACATGTCGAGTGCTTTGGTGTAGAAAGGATTGTACGACGATGTACAATACCACGTGGGTATTGTGGCACTACATGATTGATAATGACGCCTCGTCAGATGAAAGTTGTAATATACATACAGTATGTAGTGTAGTGTAGTAAAAAACATCTTCCCATGCCAGTCGAGCACTACTTTACTCATCCTCTATCCTTTAACTTTGGTATATTTAGCTACTTTCCTCCTCGAACATGTCATCGCCAGGCATACCTCAATTACTCATCTCCTATTCCTGGAATTCACTGGGTTGGCCCCAGGCAACGCTAGCACTAGAACTAGAACTAGAACTACCGGAACGGCGGAACTCACTATAAGTCTACAACTTGGGTTGGAAAAAGAAAAAAACTTCACTCTCGAGTGTGATATCTACCTATCTCGCCTGCGATGATGTCGCTTTTGCAGAAATACGACGCTGTTTCGCATCGCTCCCGGCCATACCGCAGTTCTACCTCGTATTAATAGCTCGCTGGGCAGCCTTTCCATGACCTACTGTCAGTAGAGCCGATGTTCAGCGCCACCAGGTCGTCAGATATTACAGTCTGCGAACATGGACTGCACATATATATATGTAGGTGAAGGTGTAGCTCAATGCCTGCTAACATCCAGCACCTTCATACCGCTTCTACACTATTACATCGCCTCCCATCGCAATACAAATAATGCCTTTCAACACCAAGGCTTTCATAGCTGTTGCTGTACTCTTCGACACAATCTACGCTAGGCCTACACAAGACCATAACAACATCAAAGCACGACAGGATGTGGAGTGGGACGCCATCATCATTGGAGCTGGTCCGGCGGGCATCGTCGCCGCTGATCGAATGAGCGAAGCGGGCAAGAGAACCCTCCTTCTCGAGCAAGGAGGACCTTCGTATTATTCTACAGGCGGACGAGAACGACCAGACTGGCTATCAAATACAGAGCTCTCTCGTGTCGACGTTCCAGGCCTCTACAGCTCCATCTTCAGCGGCAGCTCCAGTCTGCTCTGTGGTGACAAGCAAACCGGCGGCTTCGGCGGCTGTACAATTGGTGGCTCTAGTGCCATCAATGCTGAGCTCTTCTCACAACCACCCGCCTCCGACTTTGACACTTATTATCCCCAGAAATGGAAGTCCGAAAACATGGCGGGTGCCATTGAAAAGGTCAAAGCCATGCAGCCATTCACCAACACTCCGTCGGCCGATGGCAAGCGCTATGCACAGTCCGGCTACGACGCAACGAGGAAGTGGCTCGTGGACAGTGTTGGTTACAAGAGTGTCGCAGTCAACGGCGACCCGAACAACAAGAACGGAGTCTTCGGCAGGGCCAATTACGCTTACCAGAACGGTCAACGAAGCGGACCAGTCAAGACATATCTCCAATCTGCTCTGGGGCGGTCGAACTTCTCCCTCAGGAGCGGCGTGCAGGTCAAGCGGGTGGAGCGCGACGGTAGCAAGGCCACTGGCGTCGTGGCAATGGTCGACGGCCAGTCCACCACCTTCAAGCTCTCCGGAAACGGTCGAGTCATTCTGAGCAGCGGATCATTCTTCAGCCCTCAGCTTCTCATGTTATCGGGCATTGGTGATCCCGCATCCTTGTCGGGCCTGGCAAACAACCAGCTTCTGGACATGCCATCATCAGCGTGGATCAATAATTCCGCTGTGGGTGACCACTTGTACGACAATCCCAACACCTTTCTGGTGTTTTCGGGAACGAACATCCAATCGTACAACTTTGACTACAGCTCGCCTATTGCTACAGATAAGGATCTATACCTCCAATCTCGATCCGGCCCTCTCTCCTCTGCAGGACCTACTGGTCTGTTCTGGGACAGCGTGAAGCAAGCCGATGGCTCATCCATCGCCGTTCAAGGCACTGTCAATGTCGCCGGGTCGTTCAATTTGACCGGCCCTGACACCTTCACAATCAATGTCTACGCCACATCTGGCGCAAAGTCCAAGAGCAAGGTGATTCTGAGCGAGAAGGGAATTCCCGGTCCCGCATCAGATTTCCTCTACAGCGATCCAGCGGACGCCGATGCCGTCGCTACCGTCATCTACAAGATGTTCCAATCCTTTCCCCAGACGGGTCTCACGTCTTTGAACTTGCCAGTGACATCCAGCAAAGCTGAGATCCTCCAGTACATCACCACGCCCTCCGACTTTACGAAAGGATACGTCAACCACTGGAGCGGGTCGTGCAAGATTGGCACATGTGTCGATTTAGACACGAAAGTCATCGGAATGGATAACCTTCACGTCGTCGATTCTAGCATTACAGAAGCATTCACGGCGAATCCCATTTTCGGGATTATGACTGTTGCGGAGAGGGCAAGTGAGTTGATATTGGCTTTGGACCAGAAATGATCTGGTCCCTCTTGTTCAGCCTTCGTGTGTAATTGATGAAAGCGTTCAAGCGAGCATGGCGTCACTGAAATATATGGGAATATTGTGATTTGATAAGATACATAAAAGTAACAATGTGATATCAGGCACTTTCGAATGTGTCTCCATTCCACACTGCCTATGTCTTTTCTTCGGCCCTCTATCGAGTCTTTGGGCCAAAAATGTACTCTCTCATTAGGAGACGACGACGAAGACAATGATGATGATGATGAAGTCACTATCCTGAAATACGGGACCGCTTCTACAACGAATGCGTGGTTTGAATGATGCAGATTGTGCGATACTTACAATCTCACATGAATTTGCCAGAATCCAGAGTGGTGGCTCACAAGCTTCATACGGCAGATCGGACAGCGCTTCCCTGGCGTCTTGTTGTTCCCAAATTCGCTCCAGGGAATCCAACAAGTTGATTGGAAACCACCCATTCGTATTCTATCCCGTTTCCGTGTCTTGCTTCCGTGGCTGCTGTCTGCTGTCAGGGAGAGAGTATCTTACTTGCCGAGAGTTACGGGACGGGATCTGGCGACGGCGGACTCGGCTCGACTTCGCGAGTCTCGAGAATGGGAAATGTGGCTCAACAAGGCGGGAATGGCGCGAACAGCTGTGTGGCACAGCGATCATCCGAGACTTTTCTGGGTAGTCGGAAAGTATTATTGTGACTGCATATGATCTCTACTGACATGCGGTAGCCTACTCACTCTCACGGTGTTTTGTGTCCCTATGTCTGTATGAGATGGAGGCAAAGTCTCAGACCCAGCCTCACGTTTAGCTGCAGCGTGCACGTGTTGCAATATATAATATTCAGCACTGATCAGTGATTACGGTGACAAGTAAGGATCTGGAATTACACTTTACCTATACAGGGCATTGTGCGGCACTATTTCGGTATTGCGCTGTCATCTCCTGAGTCCTGTGTACGTACCTCCTGGCCTCCTACCTGTATTCGAACGATCTGGTGAAAGCAAGTTAGGTAAGCTACCAGCGGCGAACAGTTCTCGTCTCAACCTATCGACGTGTATTAGGCTCAAGAGGAGCGGTATCGGATCGCTAGATTGGTAATTCGAATAATTCAGTCGTCCACAGTACTTAGAGCAGTCCACTGTCCAGGTTGGCATGTTTTTCGTCCCTAGCAAAGCTGGTTATACATGTCGCCCGTGCTGTATCTTTCTTGTTTTCGGCGCGCTCGGCCGGGCGCAATGACGTGGAATCCACGCGAGACTCGGCGCGCGATGCCTGCTCGCCCATTGCAGCTTGCAGCTGTGTAGGATGTTGTCCGACCTTCGACGCCGGAACAGCGAAACTTTGAATGTGATCGGTCGCCGTCTGCGATGGCGAGATTTCTAAGAAAAGTCTCGCTTCGTGCGTATGCAGCCAAGGTGATACAACGTGTGGTTGTCAGGTTGGCGGGCATACCTCCACGTCCACCTCCACGTCCACCTCCTAGGAGGTACGCCGGACGTACGGTACGGTTCTGTAGCAGAAAAGGTTAGTTAAGGCCAAGGAGGAAGGGAGGCGTCGGGGACTCGGGAGGAGAGAACAGAACGAGCTTAAAGCCACTACAAAACTCAGGCTGCCCTGTAGAACTCATTTAGTCTGTACCGTGACGTCGTATCCGCCACACTCTTGGACCTCCATGATTGGTGGCACAGTGTCGATGTGCAGACAAGTTCCGATCGAGCGGGAATCCTCCCTCCACTTCCTACGAAAGATGAGCAGTGGATCGCAAGGCCGGATGTCTTGGTCGTGCTCGCCACGGACAACCATTCGTCTCGCTTGCAAACTTGAATAGTGAGATATTGCCGAGTATTGTAGTTGCACCTACGCATGAATGACATGGTGGATTCTGCCTAAGTCGATCTTGCGTTGCCTCGATAGGGCATTGGCTGTCAGTCGTCTTCGGCGTCATCGAGGGAGCAACGCCGCCGAGGGACATGTCATTCTTCTCCGTGTATGAATGTAGTAGAGAGAAGTGATCAAGTACGGGTGTGGGAGGGTGATGGGCGGAGCAATTCTCTATTCCGAAATGGTACATATGTAGTTCTAGAAATGCCTGCTTGTCCGTCCAGATAGGGAATGATGAGGGCGATCCGTGAGGCTGGCTGCGCGTGGTTCAACAAGCTCTGGGGCTTGTTGGGCTTGGCCGGTGACGAGTGGTGGTTCGGCTGAATGTGCTGCGCCTCTGCCATGAGAAGACAGCAGCCCACTTGCTTCTCAATTGAGCCTTTCTTCCTCACGTAGGCTAGGATGCCCGACGCTGTTCACCTTCTGCCCTGCTACGTCGTGACTCTCCCTCTGCATATCCCCACGACCACGACTACGACCACGATCACGGCCACAACACCAGCTGGTTTGCGCGTACAGCCGAAGGACTTCTACCTGCTTGCCTGCCTGCCTGCCGACCTCACGACTCAGGCCGCCCGTCGCTATACGGCGGTCTCGGATCTTCCGCCACGTCCCCGGCTTTTTGAGCAGACGCCACTGAGGAACACAGCTACGCGGCTGAGACTAGGACTCGTGGACGGCTGTTCTTCGAGAGATCCTCACTGATCCAGTGCTCACTAACTGCTGGCTCTGTATCAGCCCTTTTGGGGACTGAGCGCTAAAGGTTCGGCCTGGTCTCGGGGCGCGGTCTACAGTTAGACACGGCCTGCGCACTGCATAGCATTCCATTTGAAATAGGATCAATCCAGGGATATAGGAAATCATTGCGCAACGACCAGAGCATCGGGACCTTCCGCCACGCACTCCTCGACAGCCACATCGTACAAGCGGAGCATATTGTTGGAGAAGCCCATCTCAGTGCTGCGACGACGACGTGCCAACGTGCCAACGTGCCCTTGGCGGATGTACGCGCATTACCTTTGCTCAGTGGGTCATCCCGTCCCTACATGCAATACCGCTTCCCTCCAGCATTGTCGATCAGCACAAACATGTCGCCTCATGCTGGGACTGCTCTGGGCACTGGTCAATGTGGCATCGCGGCCGCCGTTGCCACGCTGCTTGAAGAACATGAGCAAGAATGAAAACTGACAACGGCCGCTAGATCATCTTGAACGGCATGACGTTGTGAAGTCGCGCGTGCACACATGGCAGCAGCAGCAACATCCTCACCAATCTCCGCCGCCGCCACCACCTCGGGCGTGCCACGTACATTGACGTCGGCAGCGTCAGGCGCGAATATACCCGACGAGCTCGAAAACCCCTCCCTCTTGCGCCCAATCTCCCAAAAGCCCGATCCAAGGACGAGCCTCTCTCCCAAGTCAGACCAGGCGCATCTCTCGCCACGGTCGACGCCGTTGCCGCTGACGGGCGCGGCGGCAATGGCTGAGATGAGACGACGGAAGCAGCAGCAGACAGAGGGTTCGCGACAGACGAGTCCCAATCCACGGGTGGCCGCGATGCAGCAGCTGTTAGGAACTGGAGGTATGAGCAAGCCCACAGATGCGCCCGCTCCGGATAAGATGAGTTCGCCTTTGCGCAAGGTGGCCGAGAAACTCAGTATACCTAATAGTAATGCGCAACCAGAAAACGAACCGGAAGTCAGTCCTGTAAGCTTGGGCAGCTTTGGCTCGACCGTAGAAGGCTCCAATGCGGGCCATGCAATGACCGCCACTGCAAGTGAACAGCCTCCGGGCGCGAATTTTGTGGCTGAGCCAGCGGAAATGAATGAGGGAAGCAGCTACACGTCACAAAACGGCAGCCTCGCTGTTCAACAGCAGACGACCGACAAGGCGATATCTTTGTCGTATCCGGGGCCGCCTCCTCCATCAGAAGGACCGGAAGGTGCTGCATCACGAAGCATGACTTTGCCCGGCTCTGGATTCAGACAGGGCAGCCCCAAGTCTCCGGCGACGAATAAACGACACAAATGTCCTTACTGCGCGACCGACTTCACGCGACATCACAATCTCAAATCGCACCTTCTCACTCATAGCCAAGAAAAGCCGTACGTTTGCCAAACTTGTCAAGCACGCTTTCGACGGCTACACGATCTCAAACGCCACACCAAGCTACACACGGGCGAAAGACCTCACACGTGCGACAAATGTGGCCGCAAGTTTGCCCGTGGCGATGCCCTGGCACGACACAACAAAGGCCCTGGCGGTTGCGCTGGCCGGCGATCAAGCTTTGGGGCAGACGACGAAGAAGGAGATGGATACGATGAGGGCATGGACGGTGTGGAATACGATGACGAAGGTCTGGACGAACATGGGCGTCGCAAAAGTAACAAGAGGCAGCATCTGGAAACACCACAGGACTCTGACAGGTCGGTGTATCGACAGCACTCGAGCACGTATCCGCCTGCACCGCGTCAAATGCAAGGCAGCATGGGTCCACCACAGGTAGTCCACCCCGGCGGTACAACATCGCCACGCGACATATCCGGCCAACCCAGTCCAGCTGGGGGCTCTGTGAGCTCTTCCTACTATGGACCAGGTCAAGTGTTTGCAGAACCCGGGATGATGACTTCTTCGCCTAAGCCGCTGTCGCCAGGTCAACCCGCGGATCAGCATCGTCTGAGTGTTGGCGATAACAGTGCTCAACTCGGGCGTAATCGGTCTACGAGCTTGACGACGCAGTTCCAGCAACAACATTTTGGGCGCGGCACTGGGGTCCGGTCACCGCCACAGCCCAACAATCAATTCCTGCCGAACTCGAACCACCAGGTCGCGCCACAGCACAATATCCTCCCACCTCTTGGCAGCCAACCACAGATGCGTAATAGCTTGCAATCGACTGCTTCTAACATGATGCAGCATCCTCAACCATATTCATCCACAGCCATGGGCTCTACACCCGGAAGCTTGTCTAGTCATGGCAGGTCCTCTGGAAGCAGTATGCGTGACATCACAGGCCAAGGGCATCCCAATCCGGACGACATATGGAGTTACGTCCGCACCCTGGAACTACGACTCGGTCGAATGGGGGACGAATACGAATTGCGCATCAGTCGCATGCAGGAGGAGATCATATCTCTCAAGGGACAGCTTGGACAGTTATCGAACCACGCAAGCTACAGTAGCGACATGGCCCGGCAGCAAGGATCGTATCCATGACTAGCGACGTCGTCCCTTCGACTGAGGGGGACAGACGGCGGTCGAAACACCCTGTCCAATGGAGTGATGGAGACGTATCAGCAGCAGCAGCAGCAGCAGCGGAGCACAAACAACAGTCACTACACAGTGAACAACTTACATTATAATAGCCCCCCAATGGCTACAGCTCAAGCAACATAAATGGAGCTGATGTATCGAGAGGAGGGGAGGACATCACCCAATACCATTGAGACGCATGACTATGAATCGAGGGCGTTTGTCTTTCGCTTGGCTAAGACGACTCTAGTCAAAAATCCATTGAGAGACTGAAATGAAGGCAACTGCTTACATGTACTACTACTACTATGACTACTACTACTATTACTATTACTACTGCTACTGTGATGATGGGGGTCCGCAAAGCGATGAGTGCGGAGATGGCTGGCATACAAGATGATGGCGGTGGCATGATTGATTCTGGACAAAAGTGAGGGATTGTTGTCATGCGGAGCGATGGATTGAATACCCCCCAATCGCTTCATACCTTTCATGTATCTACTTGACAGACGGACGGGGCGAAAAGCGCACAGATGGGACAAACCGTATAGACAGCGCAAGCTACGTGTGGGTTGTGTCATGATGTTGAATCGTACATGTTCATATTGTTGTTCTCGTGACAAAGAGATGTCGATATGTCGATAGGTAAGGCATGTCGAGATGCTGGTCTGTCGGGCACGACCCTGCATCATGCATACATCTCGCATCCCGTCCGGATGATCGACGAGCCAGCTAGCGCGTGCGGCCAGCCAAGATGCTATTGCTGCGACACCCGTATGGCGAGGAGAAGACATTTGCCTTGATTGCGCTCCGCAGACACGCAAGCGCATCGCCGACAGGTGCTGACGGCGATGACGCGCGCAACCAGCGTCCCGAGCGTGCGAAGGAGCATGAGCCACAGCGACGACGACGACGACCGCGACGACACGTGCCAGATGTGGCACAAATGGCGTCCCCAGAAAGTGGTTGTGGTGCTGCAGCAAACGTTCGATGTCATACTCAGGGCAGTGGAGCTAATCAAATAAAGTCGAACCACTTCGAACAGGTACCCATAGATGATCGTCACTACTGTCGCTGCTGCCAGTCTCCCTCCGCATCTCCATGCCACTCCTCACTCTCACCACAACCCGACGAGCGTAGTACATGCGGTATCAGTAACGGTGGTTGGGAGCGACGGAGGGCGACGGCGTCGGCGACCGCGACAGCGACAGCGACAGCGACAGTGACCAGAGACAGACGCAAGACTGCTTTACTGCACGTGCAAGACATCTTCCGCGGCGGCAGCAGCAGCATGGCGCAAACTACTCCAATGACCGCCCCCGCCGCCGCCAATGGCTCCACCAACGGTATCGACGGCAGCAATCATGGGACAAATGGCACCACCCACTCCCCTCCTTCTGCGCCTTCCACCGCCGACGACGTTCCATCAAGGACATCGTCACCGCATCTCTCCAATGGCTCTCGCGCGAACTTGGCCATACGACATTCACGAAATCCTTCCAATCCTCTCGCACCCGCCTTCATCGTCTCTGCCCCGGGCAAGACTATCGTCTATGGCGAACACGCGGTCGTGCATGGCAAGGCAGCCATTGCAGCCTCCATTTCCCTGCGATCCTACCTTCTCGTCACTACCCTCTCCAAAAGCCAACGATTCGTGAAACTACAATTCACCGACATCGATTTGAATCACACATGGCAAATAGCCGACCTGCCCTGGAAAGAGTTTGCGCCTAAGAAGAAAAAGTACTACGATCTGGTAACAACACTGGATAAAGATCTGGTGAGCATCATGCAGCCACACATCAAAGACATATCTCCGTCCATTGAGCCGGAAAAGAGGAAGATTCATCAGGCAGCCGCATCGGCTTTCTTGTACCTCTTCATGAGCTTAGGCAGTGAACGCAGTCCCGGGTGCATCTATGCCATGCGCAGTTGTATTCCCATTGGTGCTGGTCTAGGCAGTTCCGCTTCAGTGTCAGTAGTCATCGCAGCAGCACTGCTGATCCAGTCTCGTGCATTGTCAGGCCCACATCCCGATCAGCAAAGCGACGAAGCAGAAAAGCAGCTCGAACGAATCAATCGATGGGCGTTTGTAGGCGAAATGCTCATCCATGGAAATCCCTCGGGCGTAGACAATACCGTGTCAACAAATGGACACGCAGTCCTATTCCAACGAAAGGACTATACGAAACCTCCTTCCGTCACGGTCTTGCGAGATTTCCCGGAATTACCTTTGTTACTGGTGGATACGTGCCAACCCAAGTCGACGGCCGTGGAAGTTGCCAAGGTTCAACATTTGAAGACCACGCATCCGATGGTGGTGGAGAATACGCTCAACGCCATCGATTCCATCACGCGATCCGTTTATGAACGCCTCACATGCGCGGAGTTTGATCCTCACAGCGCGGAGAGCATCGCTCATCTGGGAGAATTAATGAGTATCAACCACGGCCTTCTCACGAGTCTTGGAGTCTCCCATCCTCGACTGGAACGATTACGCTATCTCGTAGATCAAGCTGGAGTGGGTTGGACAAAGCTCACTGGCGCCGGGGGTGGCGGGTGTGCGATTACTCTTCTCAAACCTGACGTGCACAGTCCCCGGCGGCGGAGTAGAGCTGCCAGTGGCGCACAACTCAATGGCGACGCGGCATACGCTGGTTTGAATGGAAAGCTGGCGCCTATGGATCAATTATATCACGACTTGGAAGTGGAAGGTTTCCAGAAATACGCGACCACATTGGGTGGAGATGGAGTTGGGGTGTTATATCCTGCAGTGATCAATGACGAAGAGATTGATCTGGAGAAATTCTTGACTGCGGATGGGAGGGATGGGGTCGAAGAGTTGGTCAGCGGACAGCATGATGAGGAAGCTTGGAAGTATTGGAGGCCATGAGGTGAGCAGTGACACATTGTGATAGCTGCTGGTGCGCGTGACCGGCGCTTATCTTTTGACATTTATTGAGCAGCGTTATCAGGGGAGCGAAGGAAAGAAAGCAGGCGAAAGCAGGAGCGATCCTGCGTGCATCAGATCAGCTACGAATCGCGCCATGTACTGTATCAATCAGGTACCTACTTGTGTCAATAACAACCAGGAAGGTGAGTGGTGATGTGCCGAACACCTCAGGGATACCTTTACCTATTCATCACCTCACTCTCGCCCTCAGCACTGGGCGCGTCGATCTGCAGCGTGTTCGCCATGTGGAGTGGTAGGTACCTGGTGGTATGCATGTAAGACTGAGGTCCCTGGCCCGTCCATTGGCCACTTTGTGATGAGTGAGAGTCCCGGAGTAGGACAGATGCTCCCGCCAGCGTCACGAGTGAGCGCTTGCTCCGACCAAGTCCCCAAAGGCGCGGCGCATGATGCGGCTTCGGCCGCAGGCGCCACATGAAGCACGAAAGAGGTGTCGTCGGGCTGTTGTCGCGGGCGTGTGCTACAGACGAGCAGCAGACTACTGGCTGCCTGCCTGCGGGCGGCTCCCGCAGATAGAGTAACACTTGCCTAAACTTACCTCACTGCCCGTCCTGAGCGTCACGCTGGCGAGTTCTTCTCAACAGCGCACTGCCAACTGCTGCATCCGTTGATGGTGAGGTGGGATGCGCTCTGCTTGACGCCCAGCTGCCGTGTTGTTGTTGTGTTGCTGTGTGGTTGTGCTTCACGATGAGTGTCCGCACGGCGCTTGCAACCAGCATAAAAGACACCTCATGCTGCTGTGCCGCACCTGACCTGAGGTTATTGTTCATCCATCACACATCACACCCGACCGCGCCTCATCCTCCATCCTCCCCTGATCACATCACGACGCCCACGTCCCCGTCCACGTCCACGTCGACGCTCCCGCTCCCGGCCCTCTCCCGCTCCCGTCCGAAGCTTTTTCTTTTTCACCCTTTGGGGCTTTGGAACGTTGAAGCTTCCTGGTCGTCGGATCCCAGCCGCACTCCGCCCTCTCTCATTCGCCCTCTCGCTACGCCACCACCCTCGACTCTCCTTGCCCTCGGGACGACATCGACAACGACACAACCCTAATAAAAATAATACCTACCACACTACAGTACCTACAGTACACCATCACCCGCGCCACCCACCAACCCACTCACATACCCACACACCCACAAACACGCACACTCACACACACACACACACTCTCTCTCTCTCTCCGCACGACCTCACTCCGCCCGCATCGGCATCAGACACATCTGGTCACTTGTGCCCTCGCTTCAGCTGCGACGGACTGACTGTCGCTCCGGCCAGCAGCGGACCGACCAATCGTTGTCCAGCACCTGCCAACAGAAACACTCAAATAGCCGCCCGTTCTACGCTTTGCTCCGCCGCCGCTCGCTTGGTCTCCAGCAAATCATAAGACAGGGTTCGCACGCTAAGGAAGCGCCCAAGCAGCTGGCACACTCTCTCATTGGTCCTCTGCTACTTCACTTGCATGACTTCACGGCCCTTGCAAGGTGGAAGTAAACACACACGAATGCTCTCTGTAGGCGCCGCACCAAGAATAGTTGAGGAGCGCTTCTGCAGCAGCTGTAGTAGCTGTCTGTCTCGCATGTCCCTTTGTGGTCAAGCAGCAATGTGCGTTGCAACACCGGCGGCCATCAGGTAAGCCTTTCACTGCTTCGATTTAATCCCCCCAGGGCATCTTCTTCTCGCGCTTCCGCTCTCCGCCTGCCCGCCCGCCTGCCTGCCTGCACTTCTTCTTCGCCGGCATCCGCTTACACAGCTTGCCACAGGTCTGAAGTGTCGTCGTCGTCGTCGTCGCTGTTGTTGTTGCCGATTCATTCATTTGATCCTTCGGTCACTTTCTCTCGCAAACGACGGCATCCAATCATGGCAACTGCATCATCATCTGCGACCATGGCTGCCGCTGGCTTCGACAAGAGGCCCGCTAGACTAGACACTGCATCGCTGCCAACTCCAGGATCCAGCACTTTCCCTTCGGAGCTACCAAGTCCCATGGTCAGCACTCCAGCATTCACAAAGAGAGACGAAGCACTGCGAACGCCCATCACTCCACCTTCAGCTTACCTGGATTTTCTCAAAAACTATACACCAGCGATCCAAAGTCCGGCCTCGAGCACCAGTGCCAAATGCGGCTTCAGCGATAAGACTTTCGATCGATCGCTTGATAAAAGCGGCTCGGAAATTCCTGGACCAAAGTCATCAGTCAGCCCGCCCACATCTCAGCCAACGTTGTCTCGGAATACGTCTTGCGATTCAAGTACAAGCGAGCTGAGTGCTGTAGCAAGCAGCAGTGCAGCTTCAGTATGCAGTAAGAGACCAGAGTCTCCTCGTGTGATCATCCCACCATCACCTTTTGTCAAGCCAGCACCACGATCCGCTGGCACGCCACGCCGACTGCACATTCCAACATCCTGCTTTTCACCCTCTCTGGCCTCAGCGCAGTCAGTTCCGTCACCATATAGCTCAACTCCTCTTAGCGCTGCACCGTGGAATGCAACATTCTCTCCACGCGAACCTCCCGCCGACATTGGCGGACCATCCGGCAAAGTCCACGTCCGACATGTCGTGACCAGAACAGTGACATACTGTCGGACACCTCTCGATCCAGCACCCAAGGGCAAGCGAAGAAAGATCGAGGCAGACGACGACGTTTCATCTTCGAAAGCATGGTCGGAAGACCCGAACCCTGAAATTAAACAAGAACGAATTTCAAAGATTGACGAGGAATCATCGAGCGAAGCATCGGAAAATGCATCTGATGCATAGATCGGGCGTGAAACGATCATCACTACCATCGTTCATACAACTTCTTCTTGCGTCAAGACGATTCTAATGATAGCGCGGTTCACTTTCCCTCTGCGGAGGAAGCGACCGACACGACATGCCTGATTTCCATTACGAGACACGACCCACCATTATATCGGTGCAGCCTTCGAAAGCCCGGCGCGGGAAGGCGTAGTCAATGGAGTTGAGACATAACGGAAAACGAGGCCTTGAAAAGGCATCTCCCTTGGATAGCATCGTGGCGCATTCTGGGGGACTGATTTGGTTGGCCATCTGATTACATGGCAAAACATTTTACCTTGTGTGCAGCAGAAGTAGCGATAACGCTGATTGCAGTCTCCGAACTGCAAAAATGAACCTATGCACAGAACGTCTTCAATGGTTGTGTCTTGTTTCTGCTCTCCGTTCTGAAACACTTGTATCGCGAGAACTCGTGTGAAGTTAGTACTTCGATTTGATGAGAGTTGCGTGAGAGGCTGCTGATGAATTACTTGGGGGAGTGTGTGGCGTGCGGCTCGAATGACATTGGAGCAGGCCACGCCTGCGGATACTGGAACGATGAGGTTACTCGCAGCGGAAAGACTTGCTCATAAGGTAAGCTTGAGTACAGGTAGTAAGATTACCTACGATGCATCATGCGTCTTGCGATAGCACGTCTAAGGACTCAACCTCTGTACCTTCCACTCACCCCCATCATTCTTCACATACTGAAAGCGATCATGCAATCGTGAAGGTCTACCCTGCCAAAACTCCATGGTCTCCGGCATGACTCTCAAACCACCCCAAAATTCGGGCACAGGAAACTTCTCCTGATTCTGGAACTTCGCTTCCACGTCCTTCACCTGCTGCTCCAACTCCTCGCGATCCTTCAGCACCGAACTCTGCTGACTCGCCCAGGCACCCAGCCGACTGCCTCGAATCCTCGTATCATAGTAGACCTGCGATTCCTCCGAAGTGAGACGTTCGACAGTGCCTTCCACGCGGACTTGTCTTTCGAGTTCATGCCACCAAAATGTCAGAGCAGCGTGAGGATTCGAGGCAATATCTGCAGCTTTACGGGATGTTCCCCAGTTGCTGTAAATCACGAAGCCTCGATCGTCCATTTCTTTGAGGTACACCATCCGGGCGGACACTTTCCCCGAGGGCAAAGAAGCTGTCGATAGCGTGACGGTTTCTGGCTGATGGACTTTGGACTCGTTGGCATGCTTGAACCAGATATCGAATTGCTTGAACGGGTTTGCGTCCAACTGGGATTCTTCGAGTGAGCCCTTGGTGTATTGCTCCGCTTGGAGGGTGCCATTTGTGCCGCCGGGGGCGAATATGTGCTTTTGTGTTGACATGCTTCTTGCTCTGGTGATGCTTGATGTCGATAATGAAGGTAGTCGTCGAAGCATCGATTATATGCTACTAGGTGTATTTGGCGGCCAGAGATGTCTTCGCCTTCAGGTTGTACTGAAGTGATGACTCTACTAGGTAGTCTACCTAGGAGGTAATGGTGGCCAATGATGATCTCACGACGCGGCAGGTTTGAGATGAGTCTTGGCATTTACAGCAAGGATTGTGACTGCGCGTTTCTCGCGTGTTCTGCCTCAACAACAACGACAACAACACCAATAACAGCAACAACAACTTTTCCATAACTATGCCATGAAGCGGAAGCGCCCAAACAGAGCGGAAGCAGCTGCGAAGAAGAAACAGAAAATTCACGCGCAGTTGAACGAACGTCCTTCGCACGCGTTGCTGAAGAAATACTACCCTGAACTCGTGACTCTGCGACAATATCTCGCATCACGGTTGCCAAAAAAGCGTCGTAGGAGACTTCAGCAATATGGGCGAGACGCTGCTTCAGATTGCGATTGTAGCGTTGTCAGTTTACTCGATAGCACGCTCATTGGGTGCTTCAAGCACGTTCAGGTAGACGACAGCAGTTTTCTCGACGACGACATCTCTCTGTTCACGCAACAGGTATCGGAGAGTGACGCAGCTGCTTCAGTTACGCCAGGCAAGTTTAAACAGACTGAGGTACGCAGGGCTGTTCTTCTCTTGCCCACTTTCATCATCTTCGCTCTCCAGTTGACCCATTCCAGATCGTGGACTTTGTGGTATGGATGCTGTTTAGGAAGCAGGCCAACAATCTACGACCACAGCATCTCCTGTGCCAAAATTATCAGAGATACGTCGTCCCGCACGACAATGGCCCTGGGCCTGAGATAGTGCCCTCCATCCCTGGTATATATTCGAATGGCCCCCACGAAAATGTCGAAACATTGAAGTCTCATCCCTGGAGTGCTCTGCCGCATCTGTTGGGTAGCGGAGCAGAGCGCATCCTGGGCGATTTACTGATTGATTGCGGAATTTTCGCGCCCGCTGGCAGCAGTAGCAATTATGTGCAACTTTGCGGTGTGCCGATGAATGATCTTCCTGTCATGTCAGGGGCTCAAGAGAAGCCTGAGACCAATCATACATCCTACAACAAGCTGGACGCTACAACTCACGAAAGCACGCATCGCTCCTGGCGAGGACTGACAGAAATCCGTTTCGTGCGGCATCGCATGCTGTATGCGCGGCCCACGCTCAGCGCGAACGGAAAGGTGCGATGTGGCTTGCACCCGATTCATGTGCTGAATCGAAACTGCGATACTGAAGATCGTGGAGAAACACATCATGTCATGAAGTACATGTTCCCACTGCAGTTCGGGCTGCATAATGTGTTGCAGTCGGATGTCGATCGAAAGGACACGACACGGGTTCTCCAGGACTACACGGTTCGGGAGCAGGAGATTTCGAAAGTAGACGGTAGGGCCCGACAGAAGAAGCCTCACGCGATGTCAAATGTCGGTAGCAGGCTGCCAAAAGCATTGCCAAAGCGACTACGTGGAGCTGCAGAAGACCTTGTCCGAAGGCTGCGGAAGCGGCATGCGAGATGTGCGTATCATGCTTTGCTGAATCACTACTGTTCCAAGCCGGCAGGGCCAGGTCCTGAGGACCAGCACTCTCTTCACCGTGCTCTCAACGTGGCCCAGGTGTCCTCGTTCTGCCGCGCAGTAGTGACGAAAGTGTTTCCCAGTGAGTTTTGGGGTCATGGGGAGACCGGCAAGCAGAACGCACACACTCTGCTATCGAATATCGACAGCTTTGTCCGGCTCCGTAGATACGAGACGATCAGTCTGCATGATGTGCTTCAGAAGATGAATCTCGACATCGATTGGCTGACGCCGCTGAAGCACTGCCAGAGCACTCATATGAGTGCTTCCGATTCCGGCAAGAGGCGGCAGCTGATGGCAGAGTTGCTATACTATGTGTTTGATTCGTTTCTTATACCACTGATACGAAGCCACTTTCACGTCACGGAATCGAACGCCCAGCGGAACCAGATTTTCTATTTCAGGCATGATGTGTGGAAGGAATTGTCCGAACCGGCAATGGAATCGCTCAAGTTATCGATGCTTGAGGAGTGCAGTGTCCCAAGTATTACATGCACTAACACCAAACGATACCTTGGCGTCAGTCACGTTCGCCTGGTGCCCAAAGAGATTGGCATGCGACCGATCACCAACTTGCGTCGCCGAGTGCAGAAGACTCAGCACGGACAGGTCGTGCTTGGCAGAAGCATCAACAGCCTTCTCACACCGGCATTCAGCGTTCTGAATTACGAAAAGGGACGACCTTGCCACAATCTCGGCTCTGCTATGTTTTCTGTGGACGACATCTTTCCACGCCTGCAGATGTATCGAGCATCCCTAGATAAGCAAGGGCTCTTCGGCAAACCTCTATACTTCGCAAAGGTAGATGTACAGGCTTGTTTCGATACCATTCCGCAGAAGCGCTTGATGGATCTCATCAGGGAAATCATCGACAATGATGAGTATCAAATATCACGATATTCCCGAGCAAAGCTGCTTGGATCACACAGCAAGGACACGCCTGGATTCGGTGCCAGACCGTCGTGGAAGTATCTGACTAAAGCGAGTTGTACGAGAAAGGAGTTCGACTTCCAGGAAGAAGTCGCGACAGATATATCCGCGGGACGCCGGCGAGCGGTATACATCAACGGGCTCGCTCCCAGGCGCGAGAGCCGTCAAGGCCTCGTCAGGCTTTTAGAAGAGCATATCGAATGCAACATGATCCAGATCGGCAAACGGCTCTATCGGCAGAAAATGGGCATTCCGCAAGGCTCGATCGTGTCCAGCTTGCTATGCAGTTACTTCTACGCGGATATGGAGCACAAGCTTCTTGGCTTCATCAACGAAAATGGCAGCAGCACTATGCTCAGGCTCATCGACGACTTTCTCGTCATCAGCACAGATCGAGGTGTTGTAGAGAAATTCCTGCGGACCATGCATGCTGGCATACCGGAATACGGAGTACAAGTCAAGCTCGAGAAGAGTCGAGCGAATTTTGAGCTGCATCTCGACGGAAAAGCTATACCGATACTGACTGATGAAGACTTTCCTTATTGTGGGAACACCATCCATACGCGGACGCTCGATCTGAGCAAGGACCACGAGAGAAGACGAAAGAGTAGTACGCGCTCCGAGAATTTTGATTTCGCCCACCTACATGCCTTATGCTAATGTGTGAGTACAGATGTTGCCGATTCGGTGGCTATCGAACACTCCAAAGTGCCGGGCCAGACATTCTATCGGAAGCTATTGAAGTAAGCATCGCAGCCAGTCATGAGTGCAAATGTCACTAACACGCTGTTCTCAGCGCTTTGAAACTACAGATGCGAGCTATGTTGCTCTCCACTTCCTACAATTCCGTGGACACGGTCTTGTCCAACCTCTACCACAGCTTCGTCGAGGTTGCGCAGAAGAGCTATTACTACATCAAGAGTCTCCCCATTGCAAAGCAGCCACCAGGCAAGCTAGCTGTCAGTACGTATAGCTGTGTCTGTTTGGCGTTTCCATTGTGAGGATTCGGCACTGATGATGGACACACACAGAGGCGGTCGACGACATGATCGAGCTCGCATACGTGCTCGCGAAGCGCCGCAAGGTCACGAGCAAAGACGTAATGCCTTATGAATGCTGTATTACGGCTGCACAGACGCGATGGTCAGTGACACCATGGAAGTTCTCTTCGCTCCACTACATACCTACATACAGCGCCCCCATTTGCTGACCAACGGTATCTTGCCTTCTTCCAACCGCAGGCTCGCATGCACAGCATTCATCGACGTCTTTCGCCGTCGACAAAGTCGACATTCTGTTCTGCTTGCGTGGTTACATGCCCAACTGGGCGTCCCTGGTGTCCGAGGACAACAGCGGAGATTGGAGCGTGTTGTGGTGCAGAAGAAGAATAATAACTAATAATAATAATAATACAACCTCTAATCAGGGATCTGCTGCGTGAGACAGATTGAGTTGGTCACGTCACGCCGCACGGCAGGTGTGAAGACGGTGACGGGACCGTTTGATGGAGGCTGAACTTGCCATGTGTCTGGCAGGCATGATGATGATGATGATTTATTATCGTTATTAACTTCGGGTATTGATGCAATTTGATGCAATTGATGAATGGCAGCCTGGTCGAATCATGGTGGGTCAGCGGCTCTGGGATCTGGTGCGTGGCGGTGTAGGAGAAGCCATTCATCACAGACACGAAGAGATGCAAGATTCCCAAGTTGCGCGTGGCGGAGACGGAGATTGGCCTGTCGTGTCGGCGTGCGTGGTGCGTGCGTGCGAGATGAAACCGGAAAGGGACCCTACCTCCTACTGTACCTGTTTTAATGTGCCTACCTCCTACTGTACCGACCTCAAGTACCTATACATGGACCTCCCTGAACTTTGATGTGAATGACGATTGGCGAGTGACATGCATGCCCGCGCGGGTGCGGCCCAGGAAAGAGGTACACAGCATAAGGTATATACCTCGCCTCAGTTTACCTATCATATCATTTTCCGGTGCAGCTGGGCGATAAGTGTGCAGAGGGAGTCTCCAATGGGGAGCAATCAGGTAGCGCTGTCCTGCACCGGGCCAGTAACAACATAAACATGTCTCCCAGTTGTAGAAAGTGGAGTGGAGTGGAGAGAGAGTGTGTATGTGTGAACTCAGAAAACTAGTGCAAGTCTCCCCATGCATTCCATCAAGTTGCATCGTCGATGCTGTGATGGATCAACGGTGATAGTTCCAGTGGGCCCAGAGTAGCTCTTGCAATAGAAGATGTACTTCCGAGTAGAACTCCCTCTTCTCGGTGATGACCATTACTGCCGTCCACACGACTCGCGCCGCACTACGCCGACCAGCGAACATGTCGGAAGTGAGGAGTCACGGGCAGCCAAGTAGTCGCATAGGAGGTAGGGGGTACGGAGGGAGGTAATAGTGAAAAGGCACAGTCTAAGAAGAAAAGAAAAGAAAGAAAGAAAAGCGCGGCAGGGGTCCACATGGCGTGCCCTGCAACGCTGTTTGGCGGCTCTGCGTCTCCGTCCGGTTTTGCTGCTTCTGCTCCTGTTTCTTGGGGCCTAGGGAGGACTATTGGCCCACTCTGTCGCGACGGCCTAGAACTAGTGCTGCCGGATATTGCTGTTTCTGAACGCACATCTTGGCCCATGGACTGCGCCGACGACGACGACGAGTGACTTTAAGTTCTAATCATGCTCTAGGAGGTACTGTAATACCTCAATGCACATTACACATATGACATCCTCTTTGCCCTCCTGTTTCTGACCCCACGACTCCTCAACGACATAACTACATACATACCTTACTTGATACATGTACTCAACTCCGAGTTCTGCCCAGCAGGCCTGAGGCCATCATCTTTCTATCCCAGCATCGAACCTGATCTCGACTCGCGACCAAGCGAGTCCGCGTCGTAGATCGAGGCGACGCCGCCGACGCGCGAACTGTCGCGCCATCTCTCATTGGTCAACTCATCGATTGGGAAGCGGGACGACCAGGATTCGCCAGAAGGTAGAATCGAGGGAAATGGCTGCCCTGAATACCCTCCCTGGTCCCTTCAACAGGAAGAACAACAACAACCACCACCAGTACAACAACAACAACATACACCACGACGACGACGACGACAATAGCAACGACAGCGACGATATTAATTCTCCCATTCTTCATCCAGTATATTGTCGTCACGACCACCAAACTCCCTTGGCCAGTGCGGGCTTCATCATACACATCGACGCCAAAACGTATCCCTCCTCCTCGCACCTCGACGTGGCTGACCACCAGGAGCATGCGCCGCTCACCCTCCTGACCGCAAACGAGTCGACTGTACAGCGCCGCCGCGCATCGAGACACGATAGCCTGTTCATAGACACCACATCCTCACAAGACTCGTTGTGTGGGAAGGGGGCTGGGATCACGCGGCCCCAGAGCGTTGCGGTGCGGGGACTCGGTCGCAGTGTCAGCCTGCCCATCGTGGACGACGCCATGCTGGCCAGTGTCAGCGTGGAGAGTGTCGTCGAGGAGAGCAGCAGCACGCCGGGTTCTCCGCCCGACTTGACCTATTCCAAGTCGTCCAAGAGCAGCTCATCCCTCAACTCAGACGACGACATTTGCGCTGCCGGCCAGGATGGGGGACTCTCCAAACATGGCCACTTTGACGAAGTCGTGCTGGAGGAAGACTGCGGCAGTGATGGGCGAGAAGACAACAATCTGCCGCCGGATTCCAGACCCACGCTCAGGCGCCCGGCGCCGCGGGCACTGGCAACCGGCGGCGCCGTTGTTGCACGAAGACGCAGCGGCACGAGTCCCCCCCTCCGCCCATTGACGAATGGCATCCAGCAGTCCAAATATCCGTCCCTGCAAGGAGCCGTCTCGGGCGTGCTGCAAGATCAGAGCCTCAATCTACCCCAAGGACGGACGATGCAACGCGCAGTCTCGAGTCCCCTCACGTCGCCGTCCATGCGCCCGCACCCTCAACACATTCTTTCGCGGTCGCCCAGTCCCAATAAGCTATATGCACCTAAATCACCGCTCGGCTCTCCGCAAACACTAGCCACGTCCACACCAAAGGCATCGTACGAATCGCAAGGCTCTGCCACGAGAAAGCCGGCGTGGCAGCCGCGCAGAAAGAGCACCAAGGAACTGGAAGCAGAGTACAATGATGAAGACGAAGACGTGCCAGACGACGCCATCTTGGAGAATGTGCCCGTGTCGCCTTTACCGGGACATTATAGCGTAGCACGATCGCCAAACTTGACGCCCAATAGTATGCGCTCAGCGACTCCTAGTCCGAATCGAAGGCCGGGACCATATGCGAACATGCACTCCGCAAACATTCCGAAAGGCGCTAAACGACCCTCTGCTCCGCCGTCGTCCATGACGGGTATGCCTCGATCCCCCAAGTTCCACCATCGTCCCAAGATGCAACATTCCAGTACCGTGGGAGCGTTCCCCTTGGATTCGAGGTGTCGACAGTATAAGAGCAAGTCATGGACGGAGGATCTCAATCGGGAGGCCCGGGAGCTGTCGCAAAAGTTGGAGGAGTATGCGGAGCGCTTGTCGCTCGACAAGAAATCTACCACACCATCGGGCGCCAATAGCGTTGCGAGCAGTCCACCGCGACTAAGTTCGAACAAGCCGGCGAGACTGCAAACGACAATTTTGGAGATCCCCAGCATTCCCAGCACCACACTTCCCCCGATACAGAGAGGCAATATCATGATTGATCCACTTCCCATCAGCAAGGAAAAAGAGGCCGTCCTGAGTCGCACGAGACCGTCATGGCTGCCTCCGAAAGATCAAAAAGAAGAGCGCAAGCATCTCAAGGAGTTTCAGCAGATGATGGCGAGGGCTGCAGAATCTGAGAGAAAGCGCGCTTTGAAAGAGCAGACAAATCGCGAGGACAAGCAAGAAATGCAGGGGAGCATTGCACGAATCTGGGAACAGCACGTACTCCCGAATTGGGATGTAGTCGTGCAGGAGCCGCGAACCAGAGAGCTCTGGTGGCGAGGAGTGACTCCCAGCAACCGTGGTGAGGTGTGGTCCAGAGCAATCGGGAATGAGCTGGAGCTTTCCACGGCGAGCTTCGACGCAGCTCTTGCGAGAGCACACGCACTGGAGGCCAAGATTGCAAACATCCCCGCCGAGGAGAAGGCGAATTGCAGAGAGGCTGCATGGCTGGAAGCTATTGACAGAGATGTTCCGAATACGCTTCCAGACGCGCGCATGTGCTACAATGCGGTGGCGCCACTGCATAAGAACCTCTCGGATGTGCTCAAGGCGTATACTTTGTATCGCAGTGATGTGGGCTATGTTTATGGGATTCATCTCATCGCGGGGAATATATGTCTGACCCTGCCCGCTGCTGATGCATTCGTCCTCCTGGCCAATATGCTTAACAGACCTTTGCCCTTGGCTTTCCTAGTGCACGATGAAGCCGCCATGCAACGAACCTACGAACTCACACTGCAGACACTGCGGTACAAGTACACTCGACTCCACGACCACCTCACATCGCCAGCTTTGGGCCTGAAACCGGAGGAATTCCTGGATCCGATCTATCGCTGTCTGTTCGCATACAACCTTCCTCATGAATATGTTGCACGCATCTGGGACATTTTTGTCTTTGAAGGCGACAAAGCTCTGGTCCGTGCTGCTGTCGCTGTTCTCTCACAACTCGAAAGCAAACTCTACGGATCGCGAGAGGAAGTTTTGCACCTTATTGGTTGGGTGAATCAAGGCAACTTCCCGGTCGAGTCCGAGGACGCCTTCATCAATGCTATACGTGAGGCGGGCAAAGTCGAGCGTCGGAGCGCGAGCGCCTAGTCGGCCGGTCGGGGCAGGAAGAAGAATACGTATCGCAGTCTGATGAGGAGAAGGAGGAACTCGTCATGGATATGTCCGGATCGGGACCGAGTGCTGAATCTCAGCTTTCGTGGAGAGGAAAGTTCCAGTAGCATCGGGATCTTGGATGATACGGTGGGCCTCAGCGCGAAGATGATGGAGTCGATCTCTTTGGTGGATGTGAAGCGCGAGTGCAAGTCGGGAACTGGTAGCATTGCGGGTAGAAAGGGCTTCGGGCTCGCGAGTGCCGGTTTGAGACGCGTCGTTGGGGTCTTCTGTCATCAGACGAATGTGCAAGAATGGGAGCAGTGAGCTATCATTGAGAGCTCCCCATCAATCCTAATGTAATTGGAAAAGACTGGCTTTGGGAGCATTTCATCTTGGAGATGCTTACGAGCTACACAAGAGGAAGGCGTGTGGAAGTAGAAGAAGTGCTGCGTCACACTTGCACTATTGTCTATTCTTTGGGGGGTTGTTTTTGGTAATGATCAGGGCAAGATGAAGGGAACCTGAGAATAAATTAATTGTACAGAGAACGGATGCATACACGTGCGAGTGTGGAAGGGTAGGCGGAGGGGGGAGGGGGGAAAGGGAGAGGGTGCCACTGTTCATATTTCTGTACCTATGTACATCTGACGAAGGATCCCAATGGGGGAATGTTTCCAATGCATCTGCTCTTTAGGTTCTTCGTCAAGCCTCCTCGGCCTCGCTCTGAAGACGAGTCTTTGCTCTCTTGGCATGAGCTTGGCGCGGGACTGTGGTAGTCAAAAAAAAAATGAAAGCACTCTGACATAAAGTCCAAATACGGCAGACTCTTGAAAATCATCTCCAGGCATGGATCTGCGCACCAAGACGGGTACGTGGAAACACTCGGTTCATCAATCTTGTCCTCGTGTCCTCGCACTTTTGGTTTCTCTCGCGCGGAACGAGTGGGAATATCAATAAAAAAGACAATTTTTACTTCAAAACGAAGGATTCGGCAGCAGCGTTAGGTATGCATTCTGCATGTACCTCATCCGTCAATGGCATCCCGCTTGAGGGGGAGGATGGATGGAGAGAGAAGGAAATGAATGTTACCTGTACCTGCCTTTTTTGAAGCTGGGATCAACAATACTATTATCGCCGAGGGCTGGCTGCTTGCTTCTGATTATATACATAGTTTGGGTATGAACTGACTGTACCTAGGTAGTTATAGTTGTCAAATCTCCTCCAATATAGTATGTCCTCCTCCTCCTCCTCCTCCTCCTCCTCCTCCTCCTCCTCCTCCTCCTCATCCGCCATACATACCCGCAACTCGAGACCTACCTACAGCCAGTCATGTAGGTATGTAGTCGATTCATAGTGAAGTCTGGTGGTTTTTCGCCTTTGGCTATTATCTATATCCCTCATCACTCGCTCACGACTCTACTGTCAGATGCATCGATCATCTGTCACTACGGAACCGCTATCCCGCCTCCTCCTCCTCCTCCTCCTCCATGAGCTATCCCCAACGTACGTGGCTATTGATGGTCTCGAGTAGCATATGCAACAAAACGTTCCTCCGTTGCTTCGTTGCTCCTCCTGGATGAAGCCACACAGTGAGATCGAACGATCACTTTTTATGGAACATGTATATAAGAATCGCCAGTGAGCACTCTTACTTGCTTGTTCATCATCATCATCATCATCAACAACAACAATAACACCAATACCATCCCTTGTCGACAGCCAATATATCGGTATCCTCCTCCTCCTTGACAGTCAACGTACAAGAAACGACCGGTGATCAACAACTTCACGACAATCATGCTTACTGCATTCATTCGAGCCCTCGCGGCAACTTCTCTGCTCCTCACTGCAACAGTAACTGCAGACTTTCTTCATCTACGTAAGTCGTTTATGCGTGTGTGTCTGTATTCGAGCACATGAAAACCTCAGGTAGCCAACATAACCGGACTTACTAACCTTCTCCTCTTCCTTTTTTATTTGTTATCTTCCAACAGCACGACGAATACATCACGCCAACCGACAACGGCGGCAACCTCAAGGAACGGAAAATGCCATAATGATTTACGACGGACCTCCCTCGTGCGACGATGTCAATAACAACTATGCTCTCCTCAGTGAAGCGGCGGATGCGTCCAGTTCGGGCTACTATCGCTGCGAGGGTTGTGGAGACTATGGAGATATTGTCAATTGGGATATTATAGAGTTGGAGTTGAATGGACAGAATGGTTTGGGGGCATTATACGATTTATAGTATGTTTTCTTTTTTTTTTTTCCTTTTTCTTCGCTTAATTCATACAAACCTACGGCTGGCGATGGCAGTGGCGACAACGTCGAAATCTCTTCGGTTTTCTTTTCTTGTTTTCTTTTCTTTTATATATATATATACTTTCTACCTTTTTTTGTTGCCTTTTCTTCAGACCCTTTTTTTTCTTCTTCTGCAGAGGACGTAGGATACAAAATCACTCCGGCCGATGGCAGCGCCCTCCGCGGGAGTTGTGTTGTAGCTCGGGATGCGACTTATGATTGCACCAGTGCCCTTACCAACGATCATGGTCAGCTGCTGTTCCGATGTACATCGGATTTGACTGGTTTGCATGCCCGGTAGATGGGGTTATGTAGGTCGACAGGGTTACCTCCGGTTGATTGTGTATATATATAGATATATATACATTTCGATCGGAAGGAAAAAATGGCAGTTCAGGACCTACGTTGACCCGGCCGGAATGATGTGGATGGGAAAAGAATAGGTCATATGACGACGACGACGGGAGTTGAATTAGGAGGTCAGGTATTGACATGGGTGGATAAGTCATATACTCCGACACTCGCCGGGATCGGCTTTAATTCCACTCTCTTCTTAGTAATTAATACCTTACTGCTGCATATACTTCACTTGGTGCTACTGCTGCTCTTATCAGATCATCTTTTTCCCCAATCTTCGTATGCTGTTTGCACTGATCGTCACTTCTGCACTATTTTTGTACATCAATATGGCTTCTGCTTTGAGAAATGTTGTCGTTGTTGGTGGCTCATATGTGGGCCTTGTAAGCTTTTCACTTCCCTTCCCGACCTTCCTTGCTCCATCGGTACCTACATTAAGACAGTAGATTAACGCGACTTCACAGAATACATGTCGAGAGCTCATGAGCATCCTGCCCGCATCAACACATCGCATTCTGCTGATTGAAGCACATACGCATTTCAATCATATCTTCACATTTGTCGGTACTTGACCTGACTCAATTTGGACATCTCACTCATCATGCTGATCATACGCTGTGAATAGCCACGCTTCTCTATCCTCTCCGGACATGAACACAAGGCGTTTATACCATATACGGGCCTTTTTCCTCCTGATTCCCCACACAGAGTCATCACATCTCGAGTAGAGCATGTGCATCCCAAGCATGTTCAAATCAGCACCAGTTTCGAGGACTCTAATAGTGTACCTTACGACTACCTGGTGCTCGCAACTGGAACACAGCTCGCTGCTCCTTCGATGATGCCTCATGACGATGCCGCCTCCTCAATTTCGTACTTGCAGAGTTATCAAGATCAGCTGCGTAAATCACAGAAGATCGTGATTGTTGGAGGTGGAGCTGTAGGTGTGCAAATGGCCCTAGATCTCAAGGAGCTGTATCCGAGTGGGAAGGAGGTCACAGTCGTGCATTCGAGAGATAGGCTCATGCAGCTTTTCGAACCGAAGCTGCATGCTATCCTTGCCGAGGCGTTTGAAGAAAAGGGCATTCGGCTAATTACGAAGACGCGAGCAAAAGTTCCTGCTGGAGGATTTGCAAACGACGGGAATCGAATGGTCGTCGAGCTCCTCAATGGAGACGAGATTGAGGGCGACTTTGTGATTCTTGCTACGGGACAGAAGCCGAATAACCAGCTGGTTGCGGGACTGGCAGCTTCGTCTGATTCCGCCGAAGCTGAGTTAGTAAATCCTGCCAATGGCTTTCTTCGGGTTAGACCTAGTCTCCAACTACAAGATGAGGCATATTCGCACATTTTCGCTGTTGGCGATATAGCGGATACGGGACTCCAAAAGGCAGCTCGACCAGGCGCTGCTCAGGCCAAGGTGGTAGCGCAGAACATCTTTTCATTAATTCAAGGGGAGAGAGCAGAGGCGAAGTTTGAGAAGAACCCGCCGGCTATACACTTGAGCTTGGGATTGGTACGTCACTCGCATTCACGAAGGCAGCATCGTATCGTGCTACATGTCGCTGACAATGCAACAGAAGCGGAACATCATATTCCGGAACCCGAATAGGAGCGAGGGACAGACGGAAGCGACTGTCATAGACAAGTTCGAGTAAGATTTCTGTTCCACGCCTGACTGATGGTGCAATTGCTGACGTGTTGATGTTGTAGCGGGAGAGCAGATATGGGAGTCGAGGGGATGTGGGACCGGTTGAACGTGAAGCTGGAGAAGATGGAGGAAGCTGGAGTGCGGGCGGAGCTGTGAGAGGGTGTGAATGAGGATGTGGATGTGGATGTGGATGTTGATGTTGATGTTGATGTTGATGTTGAGGTCGAAGTTGTGAAATCTAAATACTGGTGGTCGACGCGTCTTGGTCGTTCTTGCCAAGCCAAGCTTGCCATTGGAGGTGAAAGTGGGAGTGGGTCCGGTGCAAGGGTGGTTTTGAGTTACGCGTCGGGCTTGACCAGGGTCCACAAGTATCAAAAGTCAGTGGAGCTGCCTGAACAAATATCGCTGCTGCTGCTGCTGCTCTGTTCATGTTCCCTTCTTGACTCTTCCATCACCGCCCCGCTCCGCTCCGCTCTCCGCCGACAGCAAGTCGCGATGGCGTCGAGACAAGCCATCAACGACCTGCCGGCCAGTCAGCAGCCCGGCCACTCGCAGGCCGAAGACGAATTCGAGTTCATCCACACCCCCAAAGCTCCCACACCCGTCCCTGAAGCTCAGAATTACGGTGTCCGCACTACTGCTGTATGCTGCTCTCCTCTCCTCTATCTCTCCATCTCTACTAACCTGCACTGTTCCCCATATCCATCGCCACTGACACGCACATCTCTCTGTAGTATCCCGCCATCAAAAATGCTCCTCTGCCTGCTGATGGACCCGGCAGCGAGACGTTCAACAATGCCTTCCTCTTCACCCTGCTCGCCGGGATTCCCGCCTACTTTGCCTATCAAGTGAACGGCGGTCTGATCACTTGGGTCTTCTTCGCCATCCTAACCGCTATCCCCATCCTCATGGCCTTCTGGACGATCGCCTCCGCCATGTCGCCGCGTCTCAACGAAAAGGCCAAGCTGCCTGGCGCTCCGATCGAGCAATACCTCACATTCAAGAGCCAAGAGGATAAGAGAAAGTATCGTGGCAAGAACAAAATTCCCATGGAGACGTTCCATGAGATGTACTTTGACGAAAAGGTAGACTTCAATGGCGATTGTCTGGAGATCATGGAATACAGACACGACTGGGCCAACTTCCGCTTCACCTTGAGCCTGTTCTGGTTCTTCTTGACTGGCATGATGCCCGAGGTGATCATGCACACTCGTTCGCAGGACGAGGAGCAAGTCCGAGACCACTACGATCGTGGCGATGACTTCTACGGCTGGTTCCTGGGTCCGCGCATGATCTACACTTCTGGCATCATTTCCGACATCAACAAGGAGGAGAGCCTTGAACAGCTGCAAGATAACAAGCTTGGTCTCGTGTGCGAGAAGATCGGACTCAAGCAGGGCGAGAAGATGCTCGATATTGGCTGTGGCTGGGGTACTCTCGCCAAATTTGCATCTGCAAACTACGGCGCCAACGTCACTGGTATCACTCTTGGTCGTAACCAGACAGCATGGGGCAACAATGGTATGCGCAAGCTCGGCATCCCCGAAGAGCAATCCCGCATCCTCTGCATGGACTATCGTGACATCCCTGTCCCAGAAGGCGGCTACGACAAGATCACTTGCCTTGAGATGGCTGAGCACGTCGGTGTCCGCTACTTTGGCAGTTTCCTTTCCCAAGTCTACAACATGCTGGACGACGATGGTGTATTTTTCCTGCAGATTGCTGGCCTTCGCAAGGCCTGGCAATACGAGGATCTTATCTGGGGTTTGTTCATGAACAAGTACATCTTTCCTGGCGCTGACGCTTCCACTCCTCTCGGCTTTGTCGTCGATAAGCTCGAGGGTGCTGGATTCGAAGTCAAGGGCATTGACACGGTCGGTGTGCACTACTCTGCCACGCTCTGGAGATGGTACAGAAACTGGATTGGCAACAAAGATAAGGTTGTCGGCAAGTATGGTGTGCGATGGTACAGAGTAAGCATAAAATACACATCTCGTGCCAAGACAAATGAGCACAGCTGACGAAATTGACAGATTTGGGAGTACTTTCTCGCATACAGCACCATCATCTCACGACAAGGTTCTGCCACCTGCTTCCAGATCACTCTGGTCAAGAATATCAACTCAACTCATCGCATCGAAGGTATACCGAACGCCTTCGGACTTCACGGTGCTATCAATGCTTGCAAGGAGGCTGGTAAATCAACTTTCCCGAGCAAGTAGGAATTCTCGGCAGACTCGATCCCAGGCGGACTCATCAGCATCAGCAGAGCTACCCGCACTGCTCAAGCAGCTTAGCTCGCTCGACTTTGGTCATGCTGCAGAATTACCAACGGGCTGTAGCTGACGCTATTAGAGCAGTCCCATTTGCGAGCAGAGCGGTATGGAACTGCCATATCGCATACTCAAGGTGTACAAGTAGTACATAGATATGCGTCTAGCAGCAAGCGGCTGGAGCGATGCATTCAAAAGCGATGTATCATGCACAATCAATAGGTGTATTTTTCCTGTTGACGGTTTTTCTTGCTTTACGTGGGCTAGGTAAGAACTACTGACATTCGCATCGTTTATCCAAGGACGAACCAGAATTCTTGAGTTGTATGCCAAAGACCGCGACGAAACCGAGTCGTGAACAGGCATACCTCGTATCCTACCGCCCGCGACAACACAGAATACTGGATATCCAAGATGAAATGCCTCATAAGACCAGCATGCCGATCGGCCTAGCCGACCGCGCTGACGATGATCAGCATTCCCAATGGTCGCGCCTGACGCAGTGATATGCGCGCTCCGTGCGCTTCGATGAAGTGTCTGGCTGGCTGGCTCTTTCAGGCTTGCCTCGTTGACTCGGAGATTGATCTGCCCTGCTGCAAACGCACTTCAATGGCCACTGGATGGAAAGGCCAATCCTCACGATTGTGCTTACAGAAGAGCCTCGGACGAGTCGCTTTGTGGGAGTATCATCGGTCTTGTTGGTGTCTGTCTGCCTGTGGGACTATGGGGCCAGTAAAGTTCGTGGTAGTCGTTGTTGTTGCTGCAGGCGCCCGATCAGGGTCGCAAGTCGATGGATGGACTTGTCTCCTCTGGATGCAGATGTCATTTTCGGAACCCCACCTCAGGATATAAATATGGGGCGACGACTTACATGTATTCGTTCTCGAAGGGTCCCTTTGAAACAACATTGGCTATTGTTACCATTTTGAACATTTTGACTGGCACTACTCCGAACAGTTATAACCACTTTTACTCCATCTCACAGGAGGCCAAAGTATAAGTCTAGCATTTCAAAGACTATATCCATGGTGGGCCGAACTTTCAGTCCGTTTATGAACTGGTGGCGAAGAAAGAAAACAGAAGAAAAACCAGAAAAGAAGAGAAAAAACGAAAAAGAAAAGAAAAGAGGAAAGAAAGGAAAAGAAAATAGAGGAAAAGAAAAGAAAAGAAAAGAAAAGAAAAGAAAAGAGAAAAGAAAGAAAAACCACACACGCCGTCCCCGTTGCTACAACACTACCCGGCTCAAGGAAGCGCCCTGCTCCAGCTCGATCAAACACTGCTATCCTCAAATCCACCAGATCCTGACTAGGCGATGGGCACGTCGATGACCCCAGCCGTGCGGGTCTATATCAGAGGCTTCGTTTTCGCGCTACGAGGAAAGGATACAAGGAACTACCTCCTATGTCTCTTAAGTTTGCATTCAGCACAGCGCCTGCGACTTGAGATCCCTGACTGCCACCGCGAGAATGAAGCCTCTGCGTGCAGCTTCGACTTTCGAGGTTGTGTGCTGCCTTCATCTGCTGGAAGACAAGCTCGCGTAGCTGATCTAAGCAGTCATGCGCATCAAGGACCTACGATCTCTGTCTCTCTCTCTCTCATATCTGCCGTCGTGCTTCTTGCGTGTCCTTGTCACGGTGACCAGCTAGAGCGACATAGCTTTCTGCTCGCCAAACCGCCCAGTCGAGCCAGAGTCAGCTGATCACATGCTAGCCATGCCCATCGTAGCTTCATGCGCAGGAGGAGCAGGCGATAAGTGATGGCCATTTCGAACGTCAACATATGCCTCTCTTATGCCTCTCTTTACCATAAGTGCTTGGTTACCATGCTATCCCAAAGCCTTTGAGAACGGGCACGCATGAAGTGTCCTTTGCAGCATGAACACAAGTTGCAAGCATCTTTGTGAGAGCCGAGATCAATTGATCTCAGTAACACATCTCCTGTGACTTGAATGCCATTTCCCAGCCACACGTTGTACATGGTCGAATATGTACGGTCAGATCTGCAAATCCACCCTCCTGACCAGGAGCTAAGCATTCCAGCTTAAGCGTGGTATCCTTCCTTTCAGCACAGGATATCAACGGCGCCCGAGTACGCACCAGGACACGATGCTGTGTTCGCAGTCAGTCTCTTCTCGTCCCTCAAACTGCGCGCGCCATACGTATAAGGTAGCGCAGACATGTAGACCTCAAGCTTCCGTCCTCCTTATGCTCTGAGAGGGTCAGTGTGACAAAGACCGCGATCGCGAAGGAGTGGTCTGAACTTGCTCACGTAGTAGAGAGTGACGAGCAGGTGCCCAAGTAAGCGCCCGCATGTGTCAGTTCTGGTGGGTGGTATTTAGTGCGTCCACCATTGCGTCTCGTGTATAGTACATTAGCCGAGGAGCTCACGCGATGGGCAAATAACGACGCATGGTAAAGCGCTGTGTGAACGACGCGGAACACATCCACAGGTTCATAAGAAACGAATGTGTTGGGCATCGAAAGACTTTAGATACATGTAGGAAGGGTTCTCTGTGCGTCAATGACAGCCAGGTCAGGAAACAGCAGTAATGAGACAGTCCCTACTTGCCTTACCTACCTGACCTAGGGAAAGGGCAGTTTGACGTGCCAACAGGAGAGAGCCGTGTGAACATGCTTCCATGTGGTTGGAACACGGGTTATGATAAAAACGGTGAGCATATGATGGCGGATAACGATAAGCCAACTTCGTCGCCGCAAGGCGAAGAATGATGGGACGGCCACGATAGTACGATCAGGGTTTAGAGGGGACGAGTATACGACGGTGGGAATGGGCATGAGGATAGTAAGAGAATAGACAATGGTGATAGGATGGGTAGGCGGCGATGACACAATGGTGATAGGTTGGGTAGGCGGCGATGACACCATGGCGAACAAAGATGAGACGAGGATGAAGATAGCGATGACATGAGAGTAAAGAGGAGAATGCGACGGCAGCAATGTGTGATGGCGATGATGTGTGATGACGACGACGATGGACGACGATGACGACGATGGACGACGACGACGACGACGATGGACGACGACGACGATGGACGACGACGACGACGACGGACGACGACGACGACGGACGACGACGACGACGGACGACGACGACGACGGACGACGACGACGACGACGGACGACGACGACGACGATGGACGAT